AGAGCAGTCATTAAATTAAATCTGAAAGACTCAGAGGCCATCGTGATTTTTAACAAAGTATATTTCTATAAAAGTTGATATGATGAGGCAATAAAACCAAACATACAATTGAAATTTTCTGTTTTAACTCTTGCTGGAAAGGAATACAGATAAAAGAAGAGAAGAAGCCAAGAAAGAGTAAAGGGCAAAGGCGGGAGGAGCGCTGGAGCAGGCACCAAGAGGAAGAGCCTCAGCCAGCAGAGTGAACCCATCACACAGACACCAGACATCATGTCCTCATACTCACTCTGTCAGTTTTGAAAACATAATACCAGAAGAAGAGGGGCCCGATTCCAAACAGTGCTCCTAAGAGTGAGGTCTTGGGAGTGGGTCTGAAATTAGGATAGATATTTGCTGATCTTGCATAGGTCCAACGAAGCAAGGCAGGATCTTCCTAAAATTTATGAAAACAAAAAGTTACAGGAACTCAAGCAGGGTCACACGGAGAAACAGTCTCCCCAGGACTTGTGCGGAGGAGCACAGGAGACGCCTTTGTTCTCTACAATGGTTAAGGGAATTCTCTGAATATTCCTCAACAGCTTCAGGGAAGATCTTTCATTTCTAGCGTTTGTTGAATAATTCTGATGATCCTATTCAAATCCTTCAGAATTTAAGACACTTATATCACCCTTCATTTCTATTATTTAAAATTTATTTAAAATTTAAGAATACTTATCTTTTAAAGCAATCAGAGAAGCCAGTTTTTCTCTATGATCATTTTTTAAAATTCTTTTCTAGACTGTTTTTAGCTTCACTGTCTTTCTTGAAGTGTGACCAACAGAACCACACAATACTCCCAATGAAGACAAACATTTCATATGCTCTGTCATGCTTTGAACTTTGTTTCCAGGACCCCTTCTAATGCTACCCCGACACTGGTCTTTCCAGACTACAAATAAGCCGCAGGACAGTGAAGAGTGAGGTAGGCTAACTCTGAACTTTAAGCTTAAGCTGACTTGGTTATTTTAAGAGCAAAATTATTATATTTCACACTATTAAAATAGCTTTGTAGAAAAGACAAGGTTTTTAAAGAAAAATAATCAGACTGTCTTGGTTAAGGAAAAAAGTAATTGTCCATTTTTAATATTTATACTGGAATATATAAGAATAGCAAAATCTACCCCAAACACATAATTAAATTTAATTAGCAAAAGTCCCAAATGATTTTACAAAATTATTTGCTCCAATTAACTGATAGAGAGATAAAAATAAGCAAATGAAATCTGCTTTAAATCTTTAATACTAAGCTGCGAGGAAGGCATTAAGGTCAAACTTTAATACTAAGCTGTGAGGAGGACATTCAAGGTGCTGACCAACACCAGAAAGTCATGATTGGTAGGACTAAAATAATTAAACTGGATCTTCCACAGTAACATTTTAAACCAAACTGTTTGCAGAAACAGCAAAGAAGGTGAAGACACAAGATACAGGTTCATGGGGATGTTGAAGCTCAACACCTAAAAGGATAAATACATCTACTCTTGTATCTATCCCTTCTGCTATGGATGTATTTGAAAGACTCCCCTTCGAAGAATTCTCAATCTGTCGGTCACCTCTCTACAATTTAATATCTGCCAGATCTATCTTCCAGAAACACACCTCATTTTCAACAGCCCCATGTGCATAGTTCACTGAGCCCAGTACTGTTAAGTGAGGCTCCAAAACACACGCCATGGGAGACAGTTCTTTGCTACCACTCCACGTCCAAAGGACTGTGGGCAGCATCTGACATGGTGGACACTCCTTGAAACCGCTTCTTCATCTGGCTTCCAGGGCACACCCCTCCATGGTTTCCCTCCTAACTCTCCTGCCATTCCCTCTTAGTCTCTTTTGCATTCTTCCATCTTATCTCCCCAATCTCTTAATATTAGACCTCAGACTTTGCTAGTCTTTCCTATCTGTATTCACTCCCTTGATGATCTCCTTCAATCACATGGCTGTACATATCCATCAACCATAGGCTGATGATTCTCAAAATTATACCTCCAGTCCTAGACCACGACCCTGAACTCCAGATGTAATATCCAAGTACCTGCTCAACGAGGATGTGTTACCTAACAGGATGTCAAATGTGATGTTTCCCAAACTGATCTCCCAACAGTCCACCTCCATCCCTGCTCCTCTCACATTCTTCTCTATCTCGGTAAAAGGCAAGTTCATTCTTCCAATCACTTACGTCAAAAACCCTGGAGTCAACCTGGACTCCTCTCTTTCCCTTATACCCTAAATCCAATCTGCCAGCAAACCTGGTTGGCTCTACTTTCAATACACACCCAGAACTGACCACCTCTAACCACCTCTGCTGCCACCACTCTGGCAGTCCCATCGACTAAGAGATTAGATTACTGCGAAAGCCTCCGGACTGTTCTCCCTGCTCCTGCCCTTGCTCCCCCACAGTCTATTTCCAGCTAAGCAGCCAGAGAGATCTTGTTAAAAATATAAGTCCAGATTATGGGACTCCCTACTCAGTGAAAGTCCTCACAAGGGCCAACCAAGGCATGGGTGATCTAGTCCCAGGTACCTTTCTGACCTCACCTCTTCCTAACCTGCCCGCATCTTTCTCCTCTGTAGCCACAATGGTCTCTTCAGTATTTTTAGAATTAATTAGGCGCACTCCTGCCTAAGGACCCTCGCACTTGCCTTCCCCTCTGCCTAAAATGCTACCTTCCTAGAGAGCTGTGTGGCTAGCTCCCTCTCTTCACTTCTTTCAGATCTTTACTCAAATGTCACCTACCAAGCGAGACCTTCCCTGGGTTTATCTAAAATTGCAGCTGCTCTCCCTCCTTACTACCTACACACACTCCTCATCCCCTTCTTTGCTTTATTTTTCTTCTTATCACTTACCACTATATCTAACATGTTAAGTGATTTCATTTCTTAACTTGTTTATTACCTGTCTCCTCCACTGGAAAGAAAGCTCTCCGAGGACAGGAGTCTGTACCTGTTTTCTTCTCCACTGTTACCACAGCATCTAAAACAGGGCCTGGCCCATAATAGATTCTGAGCAATTATTTATCACTGAATTAATCATTCTTAAAAATTAGGCAAGGAATTTCCATGCATTGATCAATATATGATTACGTCCCAGGCATTCATTTAATTAACAGAATACTAACGAGGCAGGTATGACTACCTCTGCTTTTACAGGACAAAATTGAAACTGCCCTGGATCACAGAACTGGAAAAGAGAAAATCTGGAGTTTAAACTCAGCTCTGTTGGACTCAAGGCCTTATTCTTTTTTACTACATCATACTATCTGGCACATCAAATCCATTCGTGTGAGGATGTAAGTAATAAATGTCTCTCTCCACACCTTCTTCTCAAGTAAAGAAAGTTCTAGCTGGGGATGGTACAGCCAACTGGTTAAGCTTTGGGTCACAGAGACCCAGGTTCAAATTCTGCTCTATCACTTGCTAACAGAGTATCACTCTGTGACCTCCTTGTCCTTCCTTTGTTGTCATCTCATCTGTAAAATGGGGGCAGTAATAGAGCTTAACTCTTTGAATAATATTCAGAAAGGGTTTAGATAGTGCCTGGCACATGGTAAATTTCCTTCAATCCTCACAACTTCCTGAAATTCCTACAGAACACCAATGTAGCTGGTGAGAAAAGTTTTTTTTTAAAAAAAATATATATTTGACATCATACTTACACAGCTCACGGGCAGAAAGTTATCTAAAAGCACACTTGTTAAATAATAATAGCTATCAGATTACTGGGCATATATTACGTGCTGGGAATGTTTCACGGGCTATTTCATTTAACCTCACAATGAGTCTATAAAGAATGTACTACCATTCCCATATATGAAGACCAGAAAACTAAGGCTCAAAGGAGTTAGACAGACTGCCCAAGATCAGATAGTTTGCTACTATGTAGTGCCTTGGCACCTGACTCCAAAGTTTCAAAGGACTATGGGCAGCATCTGACATGGTGGACACTCCTTGAAATCGTTTCTTCACCTGGTTTCCAGGCCACACACCTGCATGGTCTCCCTCACTCTCCTGCCATTCCCTCTTAAGTCTCTTTTGCGTTCGTCCGCCTTATCTCCCCAATCTCTTAATATTAGACCTCAGACCTTGCTAGTCTTTCCTATCCGGATTCACTCTTCTAAAGCTGCAGGGTCTTTGGATCTTTAAAAGATGTAAACTGAAGAATCACTATATTCCCATCAGGAGAGAGCAATACTGCTATGAACTGTGCACTGAAAGATGGAAAAGGGCTTTAAAAAAACTATATATGACACATTTTCTGAACACTCATTACAAGCCAGGCACTGTGCTGGCCAATCACGTGCCTTATCTCATTTAATTCTCTAAGAGCCTCGTAAGACAGGAAGTACTATATCACCCCCATTTTGGGGATAGGAAGACGGAGGCTCAGCAGCAAAGTTGAGTAAGATTTTTCAAGATCACCCAGGCGGAAAGTGATCAAGCCAGGACTCAAACCCAGCCAGCTGTGAATCCAGAACGCGTCCTCTTTACCAAGCTCTCTGCCCAAGGTCAAAGGGCTAGTGAGTCGGCCTGCTCCCTGGGCCTGGAAGAGGGTCCATTTCTAAGACACTGATAAGGAACGGTGGCTACTCCGCTGTGTGGTCCCCCTGGGCCGGTCTGGGCTGCCCTGCTGAGGGGACCGCCCGGACTCTGGCCCTCGATTCCCGCCCGGCCGACCCGTCACTCACAACGAGCCCTCGGCGGCTGGGGTCGTTGTACTGAAGCAGATACTCCCGTTTAAGCCGGGATCTTATGGCCAACCGTTCAGCTTGCGCCTTCCGCGTTTCCGGAGATATGTCGTACTCAGCTGGGTCGAGGGTGGTAGGCAGGCTGGCCAGGCGCGACGGCTCGTACTTGGGGAAAGACATCTTGGCACCCCCCGGCGCACAACTGCGCCTGCGCGGCTCCGAGGCCCCGCCCTCTTCTGACCTTCAGCCTGAGGAGGTGCGCCTGCGCGTCAGCCGGAGCTTGGAGACGGAGTTCAGCGGGAACTCGGCTCCCTGTTAGCGATCTGCGCATGCGCAATGTGCTTTCCTGCCCAATCCCACCAAACTATCGCTTATTGATTCTTCCTAGCAGCCTTATCTTTACTGACATAACCGAGCTTATGATGTGAAGTTCAGCTGTGTGGGACTCCAGAGAGAGGAAACGGGACTGACTGTGAAATCCTATTCCAATGTGCGTCCATCCAAGGTGTGTAACCTTGGGCAATTCACTTCCTTATCCTGGAGATAATGACTCCTATTCTGTCCACCTAGCAAAGTTGTTGTGAGGATTAAATAAGGTAATGAATAGATGCCAAAGTGCTTTGCAAAAGATAATTCCCTATCCAAGAAAAAGAGAATAAGTTTTTCCGTACGTTACCACATTAGATCCCTACATATTAACCAGAAGAGTATTTTTCATAGGCACGAAATAATGTTTAATAGGAGAATGATGTTATAAGAGAGGTGTTGCCTGCCTGACTATAGTAGATCAGAAAAAAATGAGGTATTGAGTATATGGAGAACACATGTCAGTACCCTGTGGACCAAATTACACAGGCTTCTCAACTTTGAATTTTCATTAGTGCTATGAGTCAAAGAGGAGTAATTTCACCAATTGTATCATAGCATCATGCTGTAAGAAAAGAATTCAGAAAAAAGATTTGCAATTTTAAGTATTCCAATTAAGTCTGTTTCTATAAATACCAAAATATATCTTCGTTGGCCTAATCACAGTGGTTAAAGTTCCTCACACTCTGCTTCAGCAGTCCGGGTTCAAGGATTGGATCCTGGGTGTGGACCTACTCCATTCGTCAGCCACCCTGTGGAGGCGTCCCACATACAAAGTAGAGAAAGACTGGCACAGATGTTAGTTCAGGGCGAATCTTCCTCACAAAAAATAAGTAAATAAAATAAAATAAAATTACCTGTCTAAAAAAAAAAAATGAGGCATTGAGTAAAGCTCGTGAAGAAACAGTATCTTGGTTAAAATACTAAACCCTCTCTAAAATCCTTAGCATTCTGCGGATGCTAAGAATGAAAAACATCCTTAAAGATATGAAAATAGGCATAGGGGCATTGTGTCTTACTATGAAAGACGATTTGGGAAGAAAAGGAAGATAACCTGAAATGAAACCTCCTCCATCCCTACTGTCCTTCTCTCTCCCCCACTATCACCAAGGGAAAAGAGCAACTTCAAGTTGCACAGCAGGGTCTTTGGGTACCCATCAGACACTTCTTAGGGGAAAATATGTAAACAATAGTTCCACAACTCAAGTAAGGAAAGCTGGATCAAAAGAGAGCTTCAGCTTGGATGAAATGTCTGGGGATGTGTAGGTATGTGGGGAAATGGTTGCTAGGCAGAGAAACGACCTAGGAAGTGTTGGCACTTAAAGTGATGAGGAGGAGCATTGCTGTCAAATTTATTCAGCATTTTAATACTGTTTTAACATATTTATTAAGCACCCACCACGTGAAGCATACTGTACACTAGTCAGTCTTAGTCAGCCTTCCAGGTTCAGTGGGGGAAATGCAGAAGAAGTGAAGGACATGATGTTTGTCTTCGAGGAGCTGACAATCAGGCGGTGCAGAAAGAACAGACAGAATATGATAATATTTGCAAAGCAGTTTAATGTCCAAATGAATTTAGAGTAAAATGGGCTCTTGAGAATGCAGGCTGAGGGAAGGTAAAAAAAAGAAATTTGAGACAAATCACTCACCCTTGATTTTAAAGAAGTGCAAAAAAAAAAAAGGAAATTCTGGGTTTTTTCAAAAGTGTTTTAAAATATTAAGAAGATAATGAAAAGCAGGAGCAGGTTGTAAATTCTAAAGACTACATTGAAATGTTTAAAAAAAACCCTTTGTTTATAGATTAGACACTGATCTAGGAAAAAGAGTGTGTAAAAAGAGTAAAAGAAAAAAGAAAGAACAGTGAGTACAAACCCCTGACAATGTTAAAAAAAAAAAAAAAAGACTTTTTAAGGTTAAGAGAGGGAGAGACAGACAGAATACACTTCATCCTTTCGCTTTGGATGAGTTAAGGTGGTTACGTGGGAATAACATTTGCTTGATTATCATAAGGATCCTTTAAGATGATTGCTAAAAATAGGCAGTCCTAGGTTCTCTTCTGCTCTTGGAGATTCAAATTTGGTCTGTCAGGGGAACACCATAGGAGTCTGTACTTTTTACAGTTTCCTAAGAGGAGTCTTATAATAGTGCATTTGGGAAACATAGAGATGAGTATAAGAGGTCTTCCTTTCCCTCTTCTTTTTCCCAGAAAAGGCCCTCTTAGAGTGAATGTATTTAAGATGGAGACCTTGATTCCATAGTGAAAGAAAAAGACTTGATTGGGACTTTATCTTAAAATAAGGCAACCAAAAAACTAGGAAAATGAATTTATCTTATATTGAACAGATTTTAGGTTACAATTACAACTGTGTGCTAATTCTAATAAATCAAGTGTTAATCTGTGGGGACATTATTTTTATATAGCTCATTATCCCTCATTTTGCATTTAATTTTTATAAGAGGGTCATATTTGCAAAAGTGTTGGAGGGTTTTGTCCAGTTTTCCCAAGGCCCTCTCTTATTCCTTTGAATCTAAATTACTTCCTTTTGAAGTACTGGTGTCATCATCATTCTTACCGATTTTCTGTTTTTCGTGTGTTACCTGGTCCAACTCTGTGAACTCCTCCTTTATTAGTAACTTTGCATGTGGATCCAGCAGCTCACAGCATCACCTTTATCAAGTTTATGAAATTCCACATCTTTTGCAAGATTTGCAATAGACTTCTACTGTATTTGAGGGTAGGATATTTCCAAATGGATGACCAAGACTTCAATAGGGATGGGTGTACACACTAGGGTTAGCAGATGGAGCAATTTCGCAAGTGGTCATTTCATTATTTCATCAATGGATATTTCATGTTTTGAAGACTTTCACTTCTCTAAGAAATCTCCTAATAGAATTCATCAGAATTTATTGGGACATGGATTACAAGGACTAAGTATATGTACCTGTATTTGGCTGGAAGTGGGGGGATGAAGGGGTGAAGGAAAGAAGCAAATATGCAGGTATGGTCAAGCTATGTGAATGGGTTAGGGTTTCAGGGAACAGAAGATGGGCAGGTGAATACAGAAACTGTAAGAAGCAGATAAGTTCCAGCTTGCAATAATATGAAGAACATTCCTTCTCTTAATTGGGTAGGATCATAAGAAAATTTGTGAATAAAGTTCTCATTTTGGGTTGAGAATAAACCCAATACTCAGAGATTTAATTAATCAGTAATTAACAGCAGTTGACGTTTAGTATTTTTCTTTATTGTTATTTTTCAAAACCTTATCCTAACATTGAATATCAGCAAAGGATATACCGTCAAGCTAATAAAGAGACCCCTCCTTACATGAGCCCTCTGGAATAACCTGGGAAGGACCCTAGAAATGTGTTCACAAGATCATTCTGTTTTTGTGAAATGAGAAAAAGTAAGATATTTTCATCATGATTGCCTAAGACTGCTGTGTCTCTCCTCTCTGACTTCCCTTCTATCACATTTTCCCTCCTGTTGGGTGGTATCACAGTGGTGTTAGGCACTTGGGGGATCTGGCAAACAAAAGTTCGGGTTTTGTGGGATATATTTACTTAATTCACATTAAGTTATTGCTCATTGCTAGGCATCCAGGTGCAAGAATGGCTTCCAGGGACACCACCATCCCCTAGAAGGTGCCGGGTCAGAGTTTGTATTGTGATATGAACTCATCCTGTGAATCCTGGCCCTGGAAATATGTGAGTAGAGGACGAGAAAGAAGGTATAAAATATACAGAACCAGAAGCTAATTTGTAGAAAATTCTTCTAAGCATCATTTGAATTTTTTCTTAAAGAAACTGGATAAAACCCTCCAACACTTTTGCTAATATGACCCTGCTGCAAAAATCAAATGCAAAGTGAAGCATAATGAGCTGTGTAAAAATAATGTTCCCACAAATTAATATGGATTTATCAGAATTAGCACATAGTTGTAATTGCAACCTAAAATGTGTTAAATAGAAGATAAATTCATTTTCATTGTTTTTGGTTGCATTATTTCAATATATAAGCTTCAGGTCTCATCAAACTTGGATCTTCCTGTTTGTCAGTCTTGTTAAGGCTGCAAGGAAGAGACACAAAATGCTATGTGAATTAATTTAATTGCAAGGAGATCCAGGAATGCAGGGTAGCAAGAAAAGTCAGCTCTTCAGTTGTGTAGCCACCCTGGGAACTTGTCTTCCAAAATTGAAATGAATAGCAGTTCCAATGGAGAATAAGAACAATATTCCAGAGTTTCCAGCATCCCACCTAAAGCTCAAGTAACCCACTTTCTCTTTGTTTATCTAGCATTTAGTCTTTCTTCCAAAGAGGATGTTATTGAGTAAGGTTGACACTATTCTATCTAAAGATTGCCCGAAAGCACCATGTGGAAGGTTGGCTTTCATGTATCCAACTCATCTATGGCCCTGTTAACTTGTGTGCTGTCCAAATCAGTCATAAATAAGGTTACATGACTGTTTTTACCCAACAGATCCATCTAAGTCACAGAAGCATCTCATATTTAGAAAAGACGCACATAGAACTACTTTCTTCAGAGTGGTATTGTACCCAGCAGGCACTTTGAGACTACACGGACTGTCCATTACAAATACACATCACTTTCTCTATGTTTCTACTATAGCTTTATAATAAGTCTTGCTATTTCATGAGGCAAATCTATCCATTTTTTTATAGTTCAAAATTGTCTTAGCTACTTTTGTTCTTCACTTTCAGATGAATTTTAGTATTAAGCTGTCAAGTTCCATGAAAAAAAAATCCATTGGGATTTTGTTTCGAATTGCATTAAATTTATAGCTGGATTTAAGGAGAACAGTCATCCTTATAATATTGCATCTTCTTGACTGTAATCATTAGTTAGGTCTTCCATGTCCTTCAATCATGTTTTGTAACTCCCCATAAAGAACTCCGGCCTCTTCTATTAGATTAATTCCTGCTACATTATAGATTTCATTGCTAATGTTGTTTCTTTTTCCTATTACATTTTCTAAGTGGTTATTGCTAGCATATAGTAATATTATTGATTTTTGTACCCTGATCTTGGAACCAGTATTCTTATTGAACTTTTCCTTAGTCCTATTAGCTGTCCTATACATTCTTTTTGTGATTGTTCTATATAGTCAGTCATATCTTTTGCAAATAGGAGTCTTGCATTTTCTTTTCAAAGTGTTTTATTTCTTTTTTCCCCGCTCTTATTCATTAGCTAGGACCCCCAGTACAATGTTGTATAATAGTAAAAATAGAGGATCTCCCATCTTTTTCCCAGCTCTAAAAGGAAATCTTCTGTTGGTTCATCATTAAATATGTTTGCAGTAGGGTTTGGAAGAAGCTCTTTATCAGGTTAAGAAAACTCCCTTACGTTCCTCGCCAAAAGCTTTTTTTTTTTAAATCATGAATGACTGTTTAATTGATCAAATGCTGTTTCTGCATTGTTTGACATATTGTCATATGATTTTTCTCTGTTAGTCTGTTAAAAAGATGAAGAACCTTAGTAGGTTGTTCTGATGTGGACTCATTTTGCATCTGGAATTAACTCTACTTCATGGCCATGATAATGTTGTTTAATATACTGATGAACTAAATGTATTAGCATTTTATTTAGAATTTTACCACTTATGTTTATAGATGAATTAGCTCTATCTTTTTCTTATTTTGTTCTTGTCTAGTTTTGGTAATATATTTACATGAAATCAGTTGGATAGATTTCCTTCTTTTATTTTTTTTTAAAAGTCTCCAAAGCAGTTTGTATAAGACAGGGACTATCTATTCCTTGAAGCCTTGGTAAATTCTCTTATAAAACTCTTTGGGTCTTACATCTTTTTTCAGGGAAGACTTTAGGCTGTCAATTCAATTTCTGTAATGGTTGTTTATTCAGATTTTCTCTCTTCTGGAGTCAATTTTGGTAATTTAAATTTTCTCAAATATCTTGCTTTAAACTTATTGCCATAGAGTTTCTAATCTCATCTTATGATTTTTTTTCTATCTCTACTGTCTTTATAATTATGATCTTCTTTTTGCTTCTAATATTATTTATTTATTTCTTCTTTTTTTCATCATGCACTCTGCTAGAGGTTTGTCTACTTTGTCTTTTGAGAAAACCCATTTTTTACTTTGTTAATCATCTCTAACCAATAACTTTTCCTGTTATACTTATTTTTCTTTTTTCTGAGATTACTTATTCATTTTTGTTTATGTTTTATATACATATATTATATTTTTTTGAGGAAGATTAGCTCTGAGTTAACATCCACCACCAATCCTCCTCTTTTTGCTGAGGAAGATTGGCCCTGAGCTAACATCTGTGCCCATCTTTTCCTATTTTATATGTGGGACGCCTGCCACAGCATGGCTTGATAAGCGGTGCGTAGATCCTCACCCAGGATCCAAATTGGCCAACCCCAGGCCGCCAAAGTAAAGCATGCGAACGTAACCATCACACCACTTGGCCAGCCCCTGTTTTATACTTTTTTATGCATATAATTCTGTACATTTCATTTTAGCTACATCTCCACAAGTTTTTACCAGTATTTTCATTGTCCTGTAGTTCTGAGTATTTCATAATTTCCATTACGTTTTTTTCTTTAACTCATGGGTTATTTAGAAATGCATTTTTCACCTTCCAAAAGATGTTTTGTTTCACCTATCTTTTTGTTGTTAATTTCTAATTTAATAGCATTATTGTCAGAGAAGTTTGACTGTATAATATTAGTCTTTTGAAGGTTGCTGAGACTGTGGTCAGGTTTTTGACCAGTCATTTGCCATTCAAAGAGTTATTACAAGGTGAACACACCTTTGTAAACATACATAGTCATTTTTATAATAGTTCCATGTGAGTTTAAAAAGAATGTATGTTCTGTATTAATTGACTGCAAGGTTAGATCAAGTCTGTTAGTTGTGTGGCTTAGATCTCTCATATCGTTATTCATCTTTGTCTATTCCCATTATAGAGGTATATTATAATCTCCCAATGCCGTTGCGGTTTGTTAATTTCTCCTTGAGCAAGATTAGAATACACAGGGTGAATTGAAGGTGAATTGGAAACATTTTAATGTGCGTGCATCTGTGAATTGTTTTTAGCATAAAAACAAAGCAACTCACACATAATGGCTTGTTCACTCCATCCATTTAGTGTGCTGTATACAAACCAACCAGAAAAAAAAAAGGTTTCTGCTTAAAATATACAGTACACTTAGAAACACATCTGTCATGTAGACATATCCAAAAGCTTATGAATATTACATTTTGCATTCCTCTTCTTCAGAGACAGTCTTTTCATCCTAGTCTTAGCATATATCTGTTCTTATTACTAAAGTCACTTACATAAGCACATATTTGTACTTGAAAGGAACAATAAGTTTCCTACAAAGTGTAAGGTGACATTTTCTTGCAAGTTGTCAATTTAATATAAAATTAATCCTCTTAGCTGAGGCTATGTCATGCTTTCTTCTTTGGGATAAAGTACTGCTCTAGCATCTTCTTTTGCTTGGGGAGAGCAATTGCCTCTAGGTCAGTTTTCTGACATACTCCCATTTCTTACCCATACGGCAGTCAGAGTGACCTTTTTAAATAGACATTATCCTATCGCCCCTAATTAAACCCTTACATGACTTCAAGGTCCAGTGAGGTCTGCTCCTTGACTCTTCAGCTGCACTTGCCTCCCTGCTTCCCATCACTGTCTGTGTTCTAGCCACACAGGCCTCTCTTCAGTTCCTTCCCTCCACAGGGCATTTGCACTTACTCTTCACTCTGCCTTAAACATTACACTCTATACTCCCATTCATCCTTCAGAAATCAATTCTGTAGCCCCTTAACTAACCAAAAAGGTCAAATTCTCCTAGGAGCTTTCATGGCACTATAGACCTCTCCTCTGTAATACTAATTACAGTCAGAATTTTATATTTCTTATTATTTAATTATTTCCTGTCTCTCCCCACCCTCACACTAGAATGGAGGCTCTTTGAAGACCAGGACCACATTAGGCTTGGCTCGCCCTGTATCCCAACACCAGCATGGTGTCTGGCACATCATAGCAGTGGTGAGTGAGTAAATGACCAGTTGCCTTTCTTCACTTCAAAGAGAGTATATTAGCCAATTGTACCTACACACCTCTTGCTGCCTCTGCTTTCAATCATGCTTTCCTCCAGGCCATACCCCATACCCATCCGCCCCACCCCGCCCACCCCAAATTCACAATTCAAGTCTAAGAGCATTGTCCAGTAATGTCAGTTTTTACTGAAGATTTTGTGTGGTTACAGAGGAGGGGGGTATATTAAAAACAAAATGCCCCTTTAACATCTCTGCTCCCCCCTAGCCACCCCCCCCCCCCACCCCGCCCCTCAGTCCTATCTCTAACGCGGCTGGTGCTGTCTCAGGCCTCCTCTTTTGCCCCCCTGCCAAGTCTGCTCTGGCTCCAGCCCGGCGGCCTCCTTCTCCACCTGCCGCCAAGTCTAAACTCAGCATAACCAAGTGCAGCCATAGCATAACCAAGCCATGACTCCTGGGGTCTTTAGTTCAGAGAGTCACTTGCATTTTTTTTTAAATTTGGAACAGATAGCGTTGTCCATTTTTTAATATTTTCCTTTACTTGATGATATTCTTCTCCCTGTGAGTGCCATCCTATGCCCTCCCTGCTATCTGTGGCCAACTGAAATCTTCTGTCCATCAAGGTCCACGTCAAATGCCACATCTTCTAGAAACGTTTCTGTAAAGCCCCCGAGTAGAGGTGACTTTTCTCTTCCCTAAATGCATATACTACTTCCTTTATTCTGCTTAGTACTACAGGCCACGTTGTGGTTGTTTTCCTCTCCCTCTCCTGTAAGAGCCAGTTCCACTTCATACTCTACATGTCTCCTGAAGAGTCTGGCTCAGGACCCTGTGCACGGTAGCCTCCACTGCTGGTTACATTATAATGAAACTTTTTGTATTTCCTCTCTTAGGTTTTGGTAAAAGCCTCTTCAATAAAGCTACTGAATTTCATGGTTCTAAATGACAGATGTCCAATATTTCCATTTCAGAATCAGCTAGCAGAAACCACTCCCCTCTTTGAAGGATCCCTGTAGATACTGCCGGGGATGTAGTACAGCCTTGGGTTCAGCAGTCTTGGAGAGCAGGTCTCTATCCAGGTAAAAGATACAATTGATGTCTTTGACTGGGTTGAGTCTGGCTTTCAAAGATGCAGCATCAGTCTGTCCTGTGAAAGACTACGAGGGCCCCTGAAAGAGTTAAAATTGAACTCCTATGACTCCTTACAAATGCCAAGGAGGTGGCTAACCAAAAATGTTGGCATACAAATTTAACCTCCTGTGGTCTAGAGAGAGACCGACTGCTAGCGGGCTGTGTTCTATTATTAGTGTGATCTTCCTGTGAAGAGATCTCTCAATGTCTCATAGTCACCTTGATCAAGCAAGGGGGGCAGGCAGGGGGCGTGATGAGATTTGCTTCACGTGTGATGGCTAACTGAGGGCATCTAAGATATAACCTGCTGTTACTTGCTCAGACTTCCTACCAAATTGTATTTACCTTCTCAACATGAAACCGTAAATATCTTTACCTCCTTTTATTCCAATAAGCATCTTCATTACCCTGAATTAAACATGGATAAAAAGTAAAATGAAGTTCTTTGGTTTCTTTTTTAATATTTTTTTCTATTTCAGAAAGAAATGCATTTCATTATTAAAAAAAATTTAAAAATAGAATGAAAAATTAAAATGTAAAGAAATTCATATTTCTACAACCTAAGGACAATCACAAAATTTTTGACATTTTTTTCTTCCAATCTTCTTTCCATGTAAAGGATGTTTTTTGAAAACTGTAAGGATGCTACAGATATACTGTATTCCATTTTTTCATTTAAGTTTTTAAACTAAGCATTTTTCTGTAGTCTTTTTTATAGATAACAATATCCATAATATTGTGAATGTCTAATACTCCAACAAGAGGAAATAATTATAATTTGCTTAACTATCTCCTTTGCTCTTTCTTAAAGTTGGTTAAAAAAAGTAAAAGTATAAATAAGTACTTAAACACTGCATTTCTAAACATTTTACATTTATTCATGGAATTATCTGCTTTTTTACAGTTCAGTTTATCTTCGCTCCTTGCCCCTATTGGATCTTCCAGAGGCTGTGCCCACCTCCAGCTTTCCCAGCACCTCCTGTCAGTCCCATGATGCTCTGTGGTAAACAAGCCTGATGCTTCCTTGACAACTGTCACTTGGTCTATGAGCTTTTATCACCCTATCATCCCAAGAGGGCATGCTCTTAATTTCTCTTGGTTTAGGCTCATCCTGAGCAGAAGCAGGCCAATTCCCAGAAAATCAATCCAATGGGAGCCAGTGTGTGAATGACTGCTTCTCTGAATGGCGAGCGGACCTAGAGCAAACCACAGTGAGAGGGTCTGAAGGCTGTGAACAGACTCATGGAGCTTCAGACCCAGGCCCCTCTCCCAGTGCCTCTGCAATTTTCCACCCTATGATCTTCAGGCAAAAGACCTGATCTCTCTAGCCTCAGTTTCCTCATCTGTGAAATGGATCCCTAGTCAGAGTATTGGAGATAAAACGAGGTCCTGACGTAGGACCATAATGGCAGGGCATGATGGAAAGTTGTTAGGTGACTTCCTCCTCTCTGGAGAATGGTGATAAGGATGAAACAATTGGCAAAATGTATGCTATTCTACATCTGAATCCTAGTTTCTTCTTTTAAAACCCAGCTCCTAACAAGTCTCTTTCTTAAAAGGATCAGCCCTTTTTTCTTCTAAATATTCTAAAAATATAAAACCCAACCAAAGTTTTAAAACACACTTTTGTGGTTGTTTTTTCACAAGTGTTAAAGACAGTTGGATATGCTATCCTCCCTGGAGCATTTTTAAAATATCAGGGTACCTTCTATTTTTTTATTACAGAAATTTCCCAATACTCACAAAAGTGGGGAAATGGTATAATGAACCCCACATACTCATCGCTGAGCTTTCACAATTTTGAATATTTTGCCAATGTCATTTTATCTATCCCCCTCCATATACTTTTATTTTTGCTGGATTATTTTAAAGCAATTCCTGACAGCATTTCATTTTACCCATAAATACTTCAGCATGTATTTCTAACAGTTAAGGAGGTTTTTTTCCTACATAACCACAATGCTATTATCACACGTAACAAAATTATCAATAATCTCAGGAGCATTTTAAAAATAGGATTCTGGAAAAAGCAAGCCAAAGGAATGAGTAATATAGAATTTCAAGCCCTATGGTAAGCAGTTTGGGAAGATGCTTTTGGCAAAGGGGGTACTTTCACTCTGCAGATGACATCATAGAGCCAGATGCCACTTTCTCCTACATATCCGAAATTGGATTTACTTTCTTACCCCCCCAAGAATATTCCCTAGTTCATTTCAAGGCATCAGCATCCACCCAGGACCTCGAGCTGGAGATCCAGAGTCCTTGCAGAGTCTTTTTACCCTCCCCTCTCTCCCTGGCACTCCATTTAACCAGTTTTGAGGTCCTTAATCTCAGAATGAATATTGCATCTCCCCTTCTCCATTCTCACTTCTTCTCCCTTCATCAAGGCCCCCATTATCTACCTCTACACTGCTGTTTTGAAAGGTCTTCCTTTGGGTTCCCCCAGAAACAGAGCCTGAAACAAGGATTTGAGTATAAATAATTTATTTGAGAGGCGATCCCAGGAGACACTGGGAGCTGAGTTGGGGAGTGAGACAGGGAAGTGAAAGAAGCCAATGCGGGTGTGTTATCAAGCACTGCAGGACACGGGAGGGAGCTCCATCCCACTGGAAAACTCTGGGAGACAATACAGAACATGCCTTCAGAGTTATCCCAGCACACAGGCAAGGGAGCTGGGGTATTTATCCAGCTCTCCACCCATCATTGCTTGATGGCTTCTCTTAGGGGCAAGAACTCCCCAACACTTCTGGCCTCGCTGTATATGGGCTGAGCATGCTGCCTGCTAGAACACAGAGGGTCACGGGCCTTCAGTGTGTAATGGTGAGTACCGAGGGGACATTGGCAGGGCACCAACAGACCCACTACATTGCCTCCCTTCTCACTCTCTCCCAGGACAGAGGCCAGGGATAACTTCCCAAAGTGCAAATGTGATCCTGGTGCTCCTGTACTCAATAAAAAGAGTATGTGGATGATGCTAAAGACCAACCTTGTTTATTTCCCCTGATGGAGGTGACTGTCTTATGTGGTACTGAGCCCTATGTCCTGGACACCTGTGGCACATCTTCTGCAGATGGCCAAATTTTGGTTTGCACTTTAACTACTTGTGAATTCAATGGATAGATAGCTTTATTCATATGTTTACAATTAAAACCATGTTTATTTACAGAACAAGTTGGTAGGGGAAGGGACAAATGATTGCCTCTGGTTAGGACTCCACTGGTACAGCCCTTTTTACCTCTCACTGGTTTGCAAAATCCTTCCCAGACAGTGGAGCGCCTCCCTCCACTGGTGCCACTGCACCAAAGCTATCGTGGCAATACTTTGTTCTTTAGGCAGTCACATTATCTGGGAATCTCAATGTGATTTAAAAGCTTACATAACTTCCCAAATGAGTCAGCATGCTCTGACGAGGCAGCATGGTGGAGTGGAAAGAACACAGCATTGGGTGCCAGATAGAACAAATTCAGTTCCTGCATCTGCCGCTTCTTAACTGCGTGGCAGACAAATTACCCTGCCTCTCCGAGCCTCGGTTTCTTCCTCTAACAAATGGGAATCAGAGACCTACCTAGGAGGGTTACTATAAGAATTAAATGAAGTAAGAAAACAATCAGTGTGATCTAGCAACATCTAGCAAGTTCTTGAACCTTACTGACCTGCAGTAGTAGAAAATGCTCATTTATCTCTGTCTGCTTTTAGCACTAGTGAATTTTAGATGAAAGTCCAAATCAGTTCTGTGTAAAGGAAAATTGCTCTTGCTCCACTCTGGGTAAAGTAGGCACATTGTGTGTGAAATAAATCTGTACCAGAAAAGGGTGGGATGCTCTAGGAAGGGCTGGGCTGGCACAGCCTGGCTCGGCCCCGACTGCAAGGGCAGCCAAAGATCGCTAGCTTTCAGTGGCGACTTTGCGAGTTCATGGCGAGACAGACAGCAAGAAAAACAAACTGTGCAGGAGAGCCTGTGCGATCAGCTCTGCATAGCTCCTTACCGCGGTGGAGAGCAGTCAGGAATGGCGCTGCAGAATGTCTTCTGCTAGACAAAGCTGCAGCATACAAATGAGGATGCTGCTGTGCCAGCCGGGGCTGGGGACGATTCTGGAACTGTTTTTCCAAAGTGATTGGAACAAACGCCTGCAAGTTAAAATAAATAAGTAAATAAAATCCCTGGTCAGCAAACGAGCATGCTGCAAAGTTCTTCCCTGCCAGTCGCAACAATATTAGGGCAGGATTACCAGGCCAGGATCTTTACAGTCAGCATAATACACAGTTAGTAGTCAGCTGGAGTCAGCAGAGAAAGTATTTATAAGCAGGGGGTGATCAGTGAGTGTGAACCTAAGAGCAAAGAAATCTCTGAAAAGAAAAATCAGGAGCCAATTTTTGAACTTAGAAACAACAGAATGTTAGAACAAGAAAGGTTCTTTCAGATGATCCAGCTGTTCTGGTGATTTTTAAATGCTTAAAAAAGAAACTTTTTTTTCAAATAAAATCTTATGCAGACTCTCCCACTGTAAGGCAAATAAACGGGATGCTGCTCTGAGGAGGGGAGGGCAGGAGGACGAGAGGGCAGTGTGGTTCCGGGGCCCCAGTCTCTGAGCCTCAACTTTAGATCTCCCAGTGTGGCCCAGAAATATGTCCTGGAAATCCCAAGGCCCCACTGACCACAGTGTGACAACCTCTAGTCTGGTCCACCCCACACATCATACTAATGGGGAATTTAGGCTCAAAGAGGGGAAGTGATCAGTCTAAGGTCACCCTGCAGAAGGAACCAGAGTCCAAACCTCTTGATTTTAAGCTCCTTGCTCTCTCCTAAAAACCATCTCCCCTTTAAAAGAAAAAAAAAAAACATGTCTTTAAAGATAAAGTTACCCCATGAAATAGCTTGTTAAAGTAAATGAGAAAGCCAGAGGCATCCAAGTGTAAATACTGGCTTTGGAAAGGATCCAATTGTATCTCCTTGTCTGCTGGACCCAAGTGCATCTTCTCATTACATTTATTTTTAAGACTTTCGGGATGGCAGTCACCAAATCCAAGGAAACTGGCTAAATTAATGGTCTCTTAGGCCAGGAGAAGTCTAACCAGTTTGTGCCTCCTAGAAAACAACAACTTAAAACAACTACAACAGCTTAATGTCTTTAAAAAAAAATTTTTTTTAAATATACTGGCACAAAAAGAAAGGAATCTGAAATGCATGGCAGATGAAGATGGCCAGACGAAAGCCCTCACACAGCGGAGCACAAGGCGTTTCAGACTCCTGACTCTACTTCCTGTTGTGAGACCGTGGGCAAGTCGCAACCTCTCTGGACCTCAATTTTTTTTTTTAATCTATAAAATGATTGAATCTTTCAAGTCACTAAAAGTCAGTATTCAACAGAACCCTGCCTCAGTGCTTCCCTGCCGGGTCAGCCGGCACGGTGCCTATTTCATGTTCAACAGAGGTTTCTAGCTCCAAGGCTGAGGAGCTGGAGGTACATTATTCTAGGAGAGAGAGAAGCAGCAACGTGGGGGCCGCCGTGGGGTAAAAGGAAGAGGGAGCAGGCAAGCAGATGGGGAGAAGCGCTACCGCTCTCCTTTCACGCTTCAGAGGCCTGCGCTTTGGTCAGCATCCATCCTGCACATTATGTGACACCTGTTACCCTGGAGTCCTCTAAATGGCAAGATAAATGGCATATGCAAATGAAGAAAAGTCAGTAAGAACATAAACCGAAATGCTAACTGTTTTTTCTGAGTTGTGTGATTATGAATGCCCTGCACGTCTCCCTCTCTCCCTCCCTTCCTTCCTTCTATCCTTCCTTTCTCCTTATATGTGTTTCCTAAATTTTGTACCTTATCTGTACATGACTTGTGTCCCACCACACCCCAACACTAGAAGGTAAGGCGGTGAGTGCAGGACTTTCTGTCTATTTTGTTCACTGCTGTAACCCCAGTGCCTAGAACAGTGCCTGGCATTTAGTGTGTGCTTAATGAATATTTGTTGAGTGAATGAATGAATGTGTGATTAAAAAGTAAGACTTTTTTTTAAATTGCAAACAACATAGATCATGCTCCAAAGCAGTGGCTTTCAATTCTTTTGGACCATAGCCCACAGTAAAAGAATATATTTTAAATTGTTGTATCATAATACATAAATCAACACACACATATATGACATATCTAACAAAAATTTCACAAAATAATACTTATTATTACTACTTGTGATGCA